TTTTTTTTTTAAGTATTCTATCTTCTAAGTTCTAACCCTAACAATGGAGTCTCATGATAATCACATAGCAAATGAGTTATTAACATACACTTTAACAATTAACACCAAGTGAATAACCTACAAAACTTCTTGGTAACCAATGAGAATCTATATGCCAACTTTGTAGCAGCCAGTTGAGAGAACAAAATTTGAGGAAAAAAATTTTCCATGCATCCCATTGACTACAACAGCACAGCCGCCGCTGCTACTGACACTAATACCTTACAAATTGCCGGTTATCATCTTCACTCTTCTGCCTCCCATAAGGATTGCTCTCACTGAAACCGTTTCGGGTTCCTTCAACTTTTCGCCTTTTGTTTCTGTGCTTGGATGCATTGCTGTCTATGTTTAGGTTCACCTTTGGTGGGCTAGAAAAGCAAAATGAAGCAGCAACCGCCTGCTCAAAAGTAATAGCAAATTTCCATCAAATAAAGCCCATGCTACAATCTTCTAATAGGCTACGCCTATGTTCATGTGTTAAGTTTCGAGCTGTCAAGAGTTGAGACAATCTAACCCTCTGCAGCAAAAACTTCTTATCCAAGTAGGATGTTGGTTATTTATGCAATATTTGCTGACAATAAAACTTAGTTTGCAGCTACCATAAAACCCATGTCATCACAAAGCATTACAATAAATTGCAGAACATAGGGGAAAAACAAGGACTGCATTTCAAGGTGTCAGAAAAGAGAAGGTACCTGTAGATCAAGGCGGTGCACATTGAAGATGTCTTTCATGGAATGTGAATTATAAGCTAAAATATAAGAGCGGTATGCATCTTTAGCTGACTTATTCAGATAGTAGTTGTTGGCAACCAACTTCTCCTGCATCATTCCAAGTTGCACTATTAGTTCCTCTTCAATTGGTTAATTTGAAATTTTTCATCAACATAGAAGCAAGAGGGGTTACCAGGTGAGACTGCACATTTGCCAGCTTCTTCTCATTAAATTCGTACTCCTTAACAGGAACTTTTGCATCCTTAGGTTCAGAACCAGATAAAAGGGTTACAACAAGAACAAAAATTAGAAAAGACACTTCTTTAAATGCCTGTCATTACTACTATATTAATAAGCACCCATGACTTACCCCAACCCCCTTTATTAATAATAATAATAATATTATTATTATTATTATTATTATTATCATTAGAGTAAAATGAAAAATCTCAGATATAAAATCGCACACCTTTAGATATTTAACAAAACCCATTTCTTCTGGAATCAGGACAAGCAAAGCATTTCCTCTAGCACCTTCACCACGTGCTGTTCGACCAACCCTATGAATATATTCCTGAAAACAGTAATAACCTAAACATTACAACAGTGAGACAAAATAGAAATCTCAAAAACACAAGGAAATTGGTAGCCACCTTGGGTTCATCTGGAGGATCAAACTGCACAATCCAATCCTGCAAGAGAACAGGTGAAAATAATATTGAGTTAGAATGGTTCCATGTTGATATCATGGCAATAACAATAGAATCATTTAAACTATTGCCCCATTCACCACACAGTTGACTAAAACCAGTCGTCCACAATGGCTTTGCATACATTTAATGAAAAAAGATTAACCAAAAATTATCAACTTGCTGAAACCAGTGGAGTAAGCATCATTTATTGTGCTCTTGCTTTAGCCAGGCCAGCACCTAGTTTGGAAGATCCTTAAATGTTTTTTTTTTTTATGTTCCTCTGCCTGTACACTGTACAGTATGCTTTATTAGACAATGATAAGGCAGGATGTTATCAAGATTCATGAGTTTCCAGCATTTTATTTTTATTAATAAAAAAGCCACTTATCAATGTTTGGACATAAGGACAACAAAGACATAGCTATAAATTGAAAAGTGCACAGAAAAATGTTGTGAAATGGTAAACTAGAAAAATGACGGAGAGTAACTGTCCGACGACTGACCCAGACATGTATTAACTTTGTATGAAAATTATCAAGGCTCATCAGAGATTAGTTAGACAATTTTCCTCCAATCCTATTCTGAACCTTTCTTCCCCTAACTACATAACATTGCTTAGAACTTTTAAAGGACGAAATGTAAAGGTACTTCTATTGTAAATATCAAGGCCTTTGCTCTTGCTTGAAGAAAACATGAACAAAATACCCTAGTTTAAACTATAACATTGGAGGCAGCTTAATTAAAAGGAGTAAAAAAAATTA